TACTTGTCCTGATTACCAATGTCACCAGGAATGAAAGTGTAATCCAAAATTCTAAGTTGCCCTCTGAACAGAAGTAGAGCATAAATCTTCTAACTCTGACACTTGTTTCCGTGAACACTACCTAAAAGGCAAAATCCTTCATATTGTAAAGATATCCTCTCAATTCCTGTTAAGTCTATAGGATAGGAAGTTAAGGAAAATCTCCCTAATGGGACACAGATGGCAAAAAAAACCTGACAGTGGTTTAGACTTTCCCTTGCTGTAAAAATATACTTTAATATACAAGGGTGTTCTTATTCTGCTTAATATGTATACCTGGTGGAAAACTCTGCATATAACTACTGTAATCTTATAATAGCTTTTGGTGCCACACACACAAAATGATGATTTGAAAAAATTCTCTCTGGCTGAATTAATCCAAAATAGCATGTGAAACATAAGAGAAAAAATTAACATATACAGTATATATATAGTTCACAAAACTATATGAGGCTGCTACATCATAAATGCAATTAGTACACTGTAGTGCTTATTATTGCAAGACACAGGATTTAGTCTTGAGATGTTCATCAACATGAAACTTTAATTGTTAGGAAACTCTAGTGGAAATGTAATTTGGTTCATTCACTTAAAGCATTTAATATCCTAAGTTATTTAGATACAGAGGAATTCAAATGAGCATAACACTGAGAATCAAGTAGTACATTTATCAAAACTGTTGAAAAAAAAAATCTGTGTTGCACATAGAAAGCAATCCAATTCTTTCTTAAGTTGGACGTAGACTTTAGAGATTGGTCAGACATGCACTGATTTTAATTGTCTCACGATGTTGCCTTGACCACTTTCACCTCTGGGAGTGTTTGAGTTGTATGAGCACTCATGTTCAGAGGGAAGCTGTAAGCAAACAGTCCCAACAACAGATAAAGCAATTAGGTCAAATTATCGAACCTAGTACCTCGAGAACATTTGTTTAAAAGCTGTTATTCCCACTCCGTTAACAATAGTTTGTAGTTCAATGTTATTTAGCGTCTATCAGCACCTAAACTTTTCAGTTGGAGTGTGTTGCAGTCAACAAAAACATGCTTCTTTTGTTCAGATTTCATTAATAAACCTCAAAGTGCTGAACTATTTGCACACCATGTCTTTCCTTATTTAACCAATTAACATGGGAATTAAATGGCTATGAAAGGTACGTAATCTTTGTTATAATTAAAATTATGAACAGATGTTGCCTTAAACCTCACTGACATTTTTCACTCATTGTTAAAGTGTGAGTCAGCAAGGCATGTTTAACTATTCTGTAATGTGAACTTGAAAATGATACTTGCATATTCAGTAGTCACAGTGTACTATATTGTTAAATTAGTGCAAACGAAAATTAGTTTGCCTGTCTGTAATCAGTGAAGAAGTAATATACTTTCAGACACCCCTTCCAAATAACATCCATAGCAGAATGACCATATGCATGCTGCAAGCCATTTGTACCTCATCAACGTGGTTCAAAGGAGGTATTTCTGTGGAGTTTACTCAAGAGATTTGGAACTGCAGCACTAAGAGATGCAAGATAAAGTAATTCTTAATTTCTAATATGTATGAGTGGGTAGGCGCCTCTGTTATGTCTAATGAAGAATTAACTTTATTCAAGAAATAAGGAATATGTTATATTAATTGACAATTCTAAAAACACTCTACCATTATAATATAAATGATACCATTACACAATCCAAATATTAGCTGCATTTATTTATTTTTCCGTTATTCATTTAATATGTGTCTTACAAGCTAAGTCCTTCTGCAAACCATTTCCTTAAAATTAAGAATGCAATGTTTAAGTTGCACTCCATGTCCAAGGGCTCACCTTACCTTCTAAAGTGGCCCTAGGTCCATAAGCAAGCTTCACAAGTATCTGCAGAGAGTGTAAATGCTCACTCTCATTGCCCAGCTACGGCTCATGAAATCTTCATCAAAGTTTTTTAAACTTTAATAATAATACTCAAAGGGCAAAGCAAAAAAGGTGATGAGTTTTAAAACTTCAACCCAGCTTTTAGTCATTATGTCTAAAACCTGAGTTATGCTATGACATGCATCAGACTTTTTTTGCTGTGTCCTGTATAATTACATCGCCATATGAAACAGAATAGAGTGATGGCTGCTGGGTATCCATTCACACTTCTATGTGTCTTTGCAAATCCTATGTTTACTGTAACTTCAGAGGATCCCATAGTCTTCAAATCTTGAGGAAATCTGTTATGCAAATGTAGACCACAGCTTTAGTCATTGAGCTCTGGCTTGCCTCTTTCTGCCCTCACAGCTTCCTATTTGTTCATGAGGCTGTCCAACAAAAGGCAGACCAACGGGAAGGTAAAGGAGTAAGGGGAAGTGGTCAGAGTTCTGAGTTTGGAGGTTTCAGCAGCCTTATAGCGTGCCCCAGGTTGTGGTGTACTGGAACCACCTAAGAGGGTAATGTAAGTCCACAGTATACCGTAACTACATGTTGATTTGCAGAGTAAGGTACTGGAACCAATCAGATCTTCTCCTGCCCAAAGAAAAACTTTGATAGCTGTGGGTTACCACATTTTGTTTATACTACTCTTCTTTACTTAGCATGGTACACAATGACAGTGGCAGAGATGGCAGAGATAAGTGATTATTTAAAGAGGGACCCCACTTTTGGCCACTGAGGTTTCCACATTCTATCACTGGCTTCCAAGAGAGCAGGCCAGATGTTTCAGCTTTTGAAAATTGAGGGATTTCAAGTAATTTGCTTCTGGGCCCAGGGATCTCTCCGGACACAAACAAGAGGCTCCAAACCTGAGGTAACTGCCTTGCTACACTGCTATTGGGTTGTATGATACTACACTTTATTACCATCTAATCCCATGGTTATATCTTTAAAAGAACATTAAACATTCATGGACAAAAAACAAACCAGAAGCTATATAAAATACAAATGGGAATAATACACAAAGAAACCACCAAAAATTACAGGGGACTTTGGTACATTTTCCAAATACTTGAGTTCCTTATTCCAAATATCAAACGAAATACAGGTTAGCATAACTTTAAAGATTTAACACTGTCTATTTTATTAGACATTCCAAGAGAATTCTGCATGTCTTTATAAACCACAATCTTTATTTTTTACTGGCTTGCAACCTTTTGGTCTAGTATAGTCCAGTTAGTTAAGAAAAATTAGTATTGCAATAATACATGATTTACAGTGTGTTACAGGTATGAAAGATAATAATTTAAACAAGTAACAAAATACAATCCACAAAGGAAATAAATCCTAAACATGGTATAATATTTTAAAAAAATGAAGAATTATACAAAAAATTAGGTTTTTACATCTTACTTTTAAATGTTTATCTTTACAAAAAAAAACTTTAGCATTACATTAGAGAAAACTTACTGGGATCACAGCTGGTTAAAAAAAAAGGCAAATTCTTTGCATTGTGAAATTCACTCTCCTTCTGTGTTTGAGAAGCTCCCTCTCTAGTCAATCCTAAGAAATTCATTAGCCATTACCTTTAACCATATTCTGTGCAGTGCTTTGGTTCCTTAAATGCACAATCTTAATGCACATTTTAGGCACGTCAAACATTTGTGCGTTAATTAATTTCATTGGCAAAAATAATAATTTAATCTGCCACTGAAATGATCTAACGCTCAAGCGCTGAACCGACCTAGGCACACTTATATATAGGTGTCAAGTATTTTTTCTGCCAAAACACTGCTGCTTTGCTGGCAGTGTTTTTTTTCTGCCTTTAAATGCCCCTGCCTCTAAACACCTATGTGTGGTGGACCAGGGGCGGACTGACAACTCATTGGGCCCTGGGCAATAGGGGATCATGGGGCCCCTGTGTACTTGCCCAAACTCAAAAAAGCCTATGAAAAAGGTACCAGGGGCATCTCATGGGGCCCCCTACTGACCCCAAGCCCTCAAGCAGTGCCTGAGTTTCCAAATGGTCAGTCCGCCCCTGGCATGGACACATAGGATAACATGCAGGGTTGTATAGAGGCACAGGAAAAAAATGTCAGACTCCCCTAAGAGCAGCAGACAAATCTATAGGAGAACTCTGTCCTCTTGTCAACAGCTAGGGATTAAGTTTTGGGAATGATATTTTTTTTTTATTATCAATAAGGCAATCACTGCAACGTTCCACCCTTTTATCTCACAATAGGGAAATGAGGGAAGTGAGTTAAGTGAGCTGGGATGGTATTAGAGTGGACAGAGTTTTTATCTATTATATAACATTTTGTTTTCTCTTAGTGTTCTATTTATCCAACTGTAGAATCAACCTGTCATGTTTAGCACAGTTACAGTTCAGATTATGTGTCTTGCCTGTGGCAAGACAATTGTGCTATTGTATTCACCCTTTGGATGTTTAGAAGCACCATTTCGTTTATTAGTTACCACTAACTGAAATATTAAATGTAACAACTGATATATCTTCAGTAACTTGATGCAACCATACATTCTTCCTATTTAAACAATTATCCATGTTCATGTCTAAAGTGACAACTCAAGTACCAGTTACCTGCTCACTTCAGTCAGATATGTTTCATTTGTGAAGACTTTATTTCTGGCTCTATGATACGACCCACATTAAAAAACCTGACCATACAATATAAAACTGTACACTAAGAAAAAAAAAAAGAATACCAAGTGATCAAAAGGCAGTATGCTAGACACAAAGCTGTAAAGAACAAGAATACATAGAATCCTGTCTAAATTGGCCCTAGTATGTGTATGTATGAATGGGAGTTAAGGACCTTAGACTGTACACTCCTTGATGGCAGGGACTGATGTAAATGTACAATATATGTAAAGCGCTGCGTAAATTGATGGCGCTATATACCATATTTTTTGCTCCATAAGACGCACCTGACTATAAGATGCACCTAGGTTTTAGAGGAGGAAAACAAGAAATAAAATATTCTGAACCAATGGACTGCAGACATAGTACAGGAGATGACCAGAGACTGCGGACACAGTACAGGAGATGACCAGAGACTGCAGACATAGTACAGGAGAAGATGACCAGAGACTGCGGACATAGTACTGGAGATGACCAGAGACTACGGACATAGTACAGGAGATGACCAGAGACTGCGGACATAGTACAGGAGATGACCAGAGACTGCGGATATAGTACAGGAGATGACCAGAGTCTGCGGACATAGTACAGGAGATCACCAGAGACTGCGGACAGAGTACAGGAGATGACCAGAGACTGCGGACATACTACAGGAGATGACCAGAGACTGCAGACAAACTACATGAGATGACCAGAGGCTGCAGACATAGTACAGGAGATGACCAGAGACTGTGGACATAGCACAGGAGATGACCAGAGGCTTCGGACATACTACAGGAGATGACCAGAGACTGCAGACATAGTACAGAGATGACCAGAGACTGTGGACATATTACAGAAGATGACCAGAGACTGCAGACATAGTTCAGGAGATGACCAGAGACTGCGGACACAGTACAGGAGATGACCAGAGACTGCAGACATAGTACAGGAGATGACCAGAGACTGTGGACATAGTACAGGAGATGACTAGAGACTGCAGACCTTTGGGGAGTGGAAGGGGGGGGGGGAGAGGGTACCCGAATTTGACACATACCCGCTCCCACTTCTATGGAGTTGTCCTCCCTCCATGTCTTCTGGGACACGTGACAGGTCCCAGAAGACTGCCGGACCTTTCACAAAGCGCAGCGCTTCTCGCGCATGTGCAGTGGGCACCCGGATGTGAAGCCGCAAGCTGTGCCCACACTAAAGATTCTGGCGCCAGGGATAGAGGACGGTGAGAACACCGCTGGACCAAGGAACAGGTAGGACCAGGGAGCAGGTTCTGCTGCACAGGAGAGCCGAGCGGCTGGCTGGTAACACAGCGGCAGCGGGAATACCGGGCCGGGGGGAAAAAGTGCATCTTATGGAGCAAAGAATACGGTAAGTACCTGTAATAATGATGTAAAATGTCTATTACTGAGAGCTCAAAAAAATTGCAAAAAGATTAAGCCTGGGTATCAAAGAAAATACAAATAATTAAAACAAATTTCTAACTTAAACAAGTTAAAGAAGTCTGCCCCCTTCCTCTTCTTAACAAAGGTAGGAAGTATTCTTTAGTTCACAGAAAGAACTGGGGTTGCAAGTTGATAACTGCGATAGTTTAGACCAGGGACCATATTTTGCAGATTCCTTGTTGGCCATGGGGACTTCACATGTATTTGCAGTAGTATGCAACAAATAAACCTCTGATTTTAACCTAAAATGTCAAAGGCTTTTAATTTGAATTTTTGAGATGATTAGCTGGTGCATGTGCAGGGGGATTTTGGTATGGACCTGCAATGGGATATCCTCTGGGTATGCTTGCTCTCAATTTATTAATTTTTATTTATGTCCTATTGTTGGAACTATCATACAGCAGGGCCCTTATGTTTTATTCACACAGAAGCAAACTTAAAACAAGTCGCCAATGCTGACTGGTTAGGACTTTGTTTTATGAACCTGTAGTAAACTTCCTTCTCAAGATGCTCCTCTTTTCCTAGTAATAATATGATATCATGAAAAAAAATGCTGACTGACTAGATATTAGAACAGTGGTCTCCAAACTGCAGTCCTGGAGCTTTATCTGGCCCTTGGGATACTATTCCTTCAACTGACACCAATGTATTTATTTATTTGTTACAGGTACTTATACAGCCATGTCAATTTATGCAGCACTTTACATGTTTATTACACACTCACATCAGTCCCTGCCTTCAAGGAGCATGTAATCTAGGGTCCCTAACTCATATTCATACATACACATACTAGAGTGAATTCAGACAAGAGCAAATGAACCTAATAGCTTGTCTTTGAAGTGTGGGAGGAAATAGGAGTACCCAGAGGAAACCCATGCAGGAAATGATTGGGAACTATTCCTCCCAAAGACTCCATCAATGGGGCACTATTCTTCTCTCTAAAACCAATGATGATAAATTTTCTGCTCCCACTGGCCACAGTATCCCCCCCCCCCCCCCCCCCCAAATCCTGAAGGATTCCCGGATCCTGAAGTAATCTGGCCCTCTGTTTAGAAAGTTTGGAAATCCCTTTATTAGAGGATGGAGTTTGGCAGCTTTGGGCACAGGATTTATCATAGGAAAGGTTAGCTCACAAGATTTCTTTGTTTATTGTTGGCTAAAGCCCTGCTTTCCATATACTTTATTAATTAAAGCACAACTAATTAAAGCAATAAATACTTTTGATAAGTTTGTAGTAACCTATTTTACCCTGTTGGGGATATTTAACCTCACTTCTTGTCTGTACAACAGTATGATTAGAAATGTCACAGGGACAGAAAGTTAAAGACAGTAAAAACTTGACACAGGCTCAATATTTTCCACAATCTGGCTCATGTTATGTTTTATGTGTTGAAATCTAGAACCATTTAGATTTAAAGCAGAGTTCCACCCAAAAAGGGAAGTTCCACTTTAAAGATTGGTCCACGCTCCCTATTAAGAATTGGCACCTTTGGGGAGCAGGGGGGGGGACAGGTACCCGCTCCCACTTCCACTGCGATCGCCTGGGCGATCGGAAACGGAAGTTGTCCTCCTACTGTCCCTTCCCGAAGACTTGTGGGACACGTGACAGGTCTCAGAAGGCGATGGGGCCATTCGCAGTGGACACCTGGCTGTAAAGCCACAAGCTGTCACAGCTGGGTGCCCACACTGAAGATGCTGGCGCCTGGAATACAGGACAGCCGGTGAAACGGGGCTGCGGTGGGGGCAACGCGGGATCATAGGACAGGTAAGTGGCTGTTTTTTAAAAGTCAACAGCTACAGTGTTTGTAGCTGCTGACCTTTATTTTTTACAGAGTGAGTGGAACTCCGCTTTAAGAAGCTGAATAGGTCTCTCAGTATCAGACTACAAAGATTTTGTTTTCCATAAAATGCAGCATGTATAAAATCTAAAAAGTGGTCCTCTGTTCACAACAATGCCATGGTTAAAGCAGTTGTGTTTTCTGATATAACATAGTTATCACTGTACACTTACCAAATCTTACAGTAAAGGATAAATCTGAAACCATAGCACCTAATCACATCTAAACACCAGTGATATCTGGAAAGGTGTTATGTTGCTAATTGGATAGGTCTCAAACAGGGATCCTCTTTTTGGGTGTAATGAACAGCAACTTTAGAAAACTTAAATAACATAAAAAAGTGACGTTTCCTGGTATTTCTACAAAACACAAAATCACTGTGTAGTACTCTTAACTTGAATGCTGGAATGCAAAGTACCAAAAAAAAAATATAAAAAAAAAATAATAAACTCTGGGATATATACAGTAGCTAATGAATATATTCTATGACTCCCATAGCAATTATTTGTACATATTGGGAAAAAACCAGTAAAAAGGATAGTACACATGCATGTGTTTACATTTTCTTTTTTATTTACCTTCCATAAGCTGCTTCCAGCATGCATCTACAGAGAGTTAAATATAGTACTAAAATATTTATGTGATGAAAAACACAGCCAGAATCCCACACAGGGAAATTAGCATTTGCCATTGCAGAATTCCTGTGCGTATCTGTAATATTGTACACATCATGTTCTTTAATATTAAACATGATGTGTAATGTCATCAAATGTGCTTGTTATTAATACTTTTTTTAAGAGCAGAGTATTAGAAATGCAGCCTTTGTCCTCATTTAAAAATGACTTCTTTGTGTTGTAAATCATACCCACCGTGTACATATTTTTGGCAAACATATCTTTCCTCGTATGTCTGAATACTTGGCTGTCAGCTAAGCTTTCATTTCTTTCCCCTACTTATTTCTTAGCTTCTATGGATATAAGCAGTTAATATATTGTAGATGGAGTAGTGCTTGTAGTAGTGAATGATACAGCAAGGGAAAGTATGAAAAAATTTCAGGAGTGGCAGATAAGTTATTTTAACTCTAAAGTAATACTTAAAGCTAAAAACTCCAGGCAGATATAAAAGATTCAGATTATTATAAGCAGATATGCATGATTAAACCATCAAATAAGTAGTTTGGGGTATAGAATCTCGGTGAGATGCTGCAACTGTCTCCTACCGGCTCTAAGCCTGAAAACTGAGCGATCACATGACAGGAGAAGAGCTGTGGGAACAATACCTTACTGCAGGGAATGGCTCAAAGTAAAACATATTTTGCCTTTATAACCACTTTAACTAGTGTAAGTTCTTAAAGTTGATGTAATATTAGCCACATGAACTAAGGTTGTCTCAAATGAATTATAGAATGGTAAAAGATACAAGCGATATACATCCATAAAAACATCCAAATAAAGAAAGTTGATATATAAAGTAAACACTATGGGGTTTATTTACTAAAGCTGGAGAGTGCAAAATCAGGTGCACTTCTACATAGAAACCAATGAGCTTTCAGGTTTTATTGCCAAAGCGTAATTGAACAAGCTGAGGTTAGAAGCTGATTGGTTACCATGCACAGGTGCACCAGATTCGGAACGAACCATCTTTAGTAAATCTCCCCCTTATATTTCTACTTACTATGTATATTGCTTATATCATTTAACATTCTATGAATCAACTGAGACACGTAAAGTTCATGTGACAAGTCTGTTATGTGATGTTCTCGATTTTGTGGTATATATATTCATATGCATATCTAGACATAACTGTTCATCATTATGACTATGTTGCTTATTTTTGTAGCCCTGATGAATGAGGAAGGTGTAGCCCCTGAAACAGATTGGCTGTTTTTATATTACTTTTTTTCATTAACAATTAATATTATATTGGTCTCCCATCTGATGTTGGTCTACCACGCCTTTCTGCATTTCTACAGTATAAGTTACTGTTGGGTTCCCATTGAGAGAAAGCTTGCTGTATGGGAGCTGCCAGACCAGAGCTATTGGGCATGTTTGAAGTTTTACTTCACCTGACTCAACTTGCAAGTCTAAAAGCTCCCAGCGATACTTATGTTGTTTTGGTATACTGTGTGGCAGGACTGTGTAAATGTTAGGATTAGTCGGACAGAAGTGCAATAACCTTAACAGGTAAATAGGTCCAATATACAGTGCATTCATAAAGTATAGGAAGAACGGTCTGGATAAAAGCGCACAGATGTGTCCCAAAGGAAATAAGTGAAGGGTATATGTCAACTATGATTGGTGGGGAAAAAACTCACTGCTGCCATGGTAAAAACACATCGGTTTGTGGGAGGTATGAACAGGAGCCAGGCGCTGTGTAGTTTTGTGATAGAAATAATACACCTTGTATGGAGGTGTGTCTTTAAGAAGTCATATGGTAAAACAATAATAAATAACCAGCCTGTGGCTTTAGGAAGCCAGGTTCCAAGATGGACGGCCCGTCCGCTCAGAGGGAAGCAGTGGAGTAGAATGCCTGTCAGTGCAGGGACCACGTTTTACCCGACGTCCCAGCGTCCTGGATGACGTCACCACGATGTGGAGAGACAGAGGGGGGGAACTCTTGCTGGAGCCGCAGCTTTAGAAGGAAGATGCCGGTTGCTGGACAACATGTTTCGCGCGCATGCGCTTTGTCAAGACTTGGCTCCTGTTCATACCATTCATAAAGTATTCAGACCCCCTTCACTAGTTTTGTTATGTTGCAGCCTGATACTACAGTTGTTTAAATTCATTTGTTTCTCATTAATATACATTTAGTACCCCATAATGACAAAGTGGAAACAGAATTTTAGAAATGTCTGTGAATTTATTAAAAAGAAAAAAAAAACAAATATCACATGGCAGCAATTACAACCTCGAGTCTTTTTGGGTATGACATGACAAGTTTTGGACACCTGGATTGGGGGATTTTCTTCTTTGCAAATCCTCTCAAGCTCAGTCAGGTAGGATGGGGACTGTAGATGGACAACCATAGGATTCAATCAGGGCTCTGGCTGGGCCACTCTATGGCATTAACAGAATTGTCCCTAAGCCACTCATG